AATTAACACTGGAATCAAAATGAAAACTAAAAATTAATTAAATTAAAACACACACAACAAAACATATGAAAAGATGCTCTATCTTGCTCACAAGAAGAGAAATACAAACTTCAAATACACCAAGTTAGGGGACACATGGGTGGCTCAGTGGTTGAGCACCTGCCTTTGGCTCAGGTTGTGATCCTGGGATCGAGTCCCACATCAGGATCCTCAAAGGAGCCTGCTTCTCCCTCTGCCTATGTTTCTGCCTCTCTCTTTGTGTCGGTCATAAATAAATAAATAAAATCTTTAAAAATATATATACTAAGTTACCCTTTCTTTTACATTTAGATTAACCAAACTCAAAAAAGTTTCACAATATACTCTGGCAAAATACACAATATACTCTGGCAAAATATATTGTGTATACACAATATACACTGGCAAAAATATAAAATCACATATGAACAAAGACACACAGTGCAGCACTATATACAACAGGAGGACAAATGCCTATCAACAGGGACAATTCATCCATCAATGGAATATTATGAAGCTATAAAAACGGATAACATACTTCTTAGGAGGGATCTACAAGGCATATGTCACTAGGGGGAAAAGCAAGTAGATAATGCATTTATTTTTATGGAAGAATAAGCCCAAAGCTAGGAAATATGATACCTATATGAAAGGGAACTAGGGTAGAGAAAAAAGGAATGAAAGCTAATCTTGTCTGAATATCTGCATTTTATACTACTAGTTTTATGCCAATGTTTTACATACAAAAGCAAGTCCAAATGGGGAAAAAAAAGGCAGTATAGAAAAATTGGAAACAAAATGAAACAAATCAACTAGATTATCAAGGTGACAAACTAATCATATAATGAAATATTTCATATGTCTTTAAAATGCAATAATTTTAACTGTATGTATCCCAAGTGGGATAAACACTAAAGATTAAAAAAAAAAAAAAAAGAACTGCAAAGAAATCCTAAACACTAGTCAGGAATCATATTGTTATTATTAATTTGAAATCAATATATATAACATAACTAAAAGTAATTACGTTAATGACATTGGGTTTCAACATTTTCAGCAAGACAAAAATATAAAAACCTAAATTAAAATGTAAATATCAGGGGCTCCTGGGTGGCTCAGCCGTTGAGATCTGCCTTTGGCTCAGGGCGTGATGCCGGAGTTCCGGGATCAAGTCCCACATCAGATTCCTTGTATGGAGCCTACTTCTCCTTCAGCCTGTGTCTCTGCCTCTCTCTCTCTCTTTCTCATGAGTAAATAAAATCTTTAAAAATAACAAATAAAAAATAAAATAAAATGTAAATATCAGTGTGAATTCTGTATATTTGTTTAAAACTATATATATTTCCTAACTGGCCACTGTGAATGCTAGAACCATTGACCAACCTAACAATAAGAGCACCTGTAGCACCCAGACTGTGGTCTCTAAATACTGGTTCCTACTCTAAAGAGCCAGGGCATTTTGGTGGCCATTATGTATAAATGAGGGAGGAACATGTTTTACCAGAAAATAGGTAAACTGATTATCAAAGACTACTAATCATAACAAGGTGGACAGGAACCAACTTAAAGGGGAAGCCACTGACCAAAGGCAGGACAATTTGAGTACTAAAAAAAAAAAAAAGACTGCAATAAGTTGAAACAGTTTAAATATATTCAACTCCATGATGATTTAAAAAAAAAAAAAAAAGGCAAAAACCCTCATGGTTACCTTTGGAGGTTGCTAGGCCACCAACTCATTACTGTAGTCTGAAAATAGAGGGAAAGAATTAAGCATTTTCCTTGCCTTTCCTCTACAAAATATATTTCAAATAGCTGATGACAGTCAAATAGCTGCTGGGGTAGAGTTCTTCTCATAAAAGATTTCCAGCTAATAAATACTGAAGGAATGGCAGGAGTGGGAAAATCACTATTCTGCAATCCCTAATGCAATAATGAATATAGGCGATATAAACCTGTAAAAAAGGTTTCACCATTAAGTGAAAAGCTCCTGGGGAATTTCACAATGGATGGATTGGGCTAACAATATTTGAATCTATTACATCGCTCAATCTTAACAGAAGAGAGACAACTGACATTTCATACCTCTCTGATAATGCAATAGATTGTCTACTGTACCACCTGGAAAATCGTCTTGACCCCCCCCCCCACACACACACACAAAATTAAAGTCAAATCTGATCTTCTAGATCAGTGCTATTCAACAGAACTTTCTGCAATTATTGAAATATTTTACTTCTGCACCATTCAAAGGGTAGCCACCAGGCACTTGTGACCACTGGGCACTTGAAATGTGGCTAATGAAGCCAGGGAACTGAATTTTTAGTTTTATATCATGATAATATTTAATAGCTACAGCTGGCTGGTGGCTACTATAGTGGACAGTGCAATTCTAGATCTAACTACTGGTTTAAAGGGAAAAGATGTACATGTTAAAAGGATGTCATGCAGATGCAATCAGCTAAATCTAGAATATTAAGGGGGACAAGGGACACAAGGGAACCGCTCTATTTAAAAAGATTTAATCGATGTATCAACCAATGCAACATGTAAATCTCTACGGGATTTTGCTTCAAAAGAGCTAATTGTAAAAAGTGACTTAAGGGACACTTGGGGAAATCTAAACCCAGACTGAATATCGACATCATGGAATTTTTATAAATTTTTGTAAGTGTGATGACAGGACTATGGTTTTGTAAAGCCAAAAAAGCAAATTTAGCTGCGGGGGGGGGGGCGAGGTGGGGGGGGTACCCTTACATAAAAATAAATTAAATCCTTGCAATCCCTATCATGTTAGCTTCAGATGAATTTCATGTTGGCTTCAGATGAATTTCAAATCAAGTTGACTTTTTTTTAAAGTAGGGAACTCTGATAGAGTGGTTTACTGATCTTGTCACAGCTGGCCACCACTACCATGTTAACTGAGAAAAGGAAGGACAAAGCAAAGATCTTCTACCTTCTAATGGGAGGAATATGGCACAGTACACTTAACATACACATTTATTACAAATAATTTTTAAAACCTGAACCTACATGCACTGAAGGGCAGTGTGAATGTCTAAATGTTTATGAGTCTGTAACCCAAGAGAATTTCACTTCTACTATACTGATCACTGAGAACGGTGTAGCCAGAGGGGCAAGAAGCTGATTACAAACTAAAGGCGGTACTGCATTTCAAGTAAGAAAATACAGAAGTTTATTATATGATTACGCTACAGCTGTAAGTGTAAATGTGAACATGTGGATGTTACATGTAGTTGATGGTCCTTACTAGGGCTTCCTCTCGCGTCTATAAAATAAAATAAAATGGAATGCAGAGTTAGGGAACTCTGTATTACCGTAGTGTACCTACACTATAATACTTCATTATTAAGTGTGAAATAATTTAAGGAATCGGATGAAAGGCTCAAGGAAAACTACTCTGCAAATACGGCTACTCTATCTACAAATCAAGACTAGTCAATGACCTTGGACTCGTTTTTACTCTTAAGGAACGTTAAGAAAGACAGTATGTGCCCTAGACTTAGGGCCCTCAAGTATCTTCACGATTAAAGTGCTCCTAAGGGGGGATCCCTGGGTGGCTCAGCAGTTCAGCGCCTGCCTTTGGCCCAGGGCCTGATCCTGGAGTCCCGGGATCGAGTCCCACGTCGGGCTCCCTGCATGGAGCCTGCTTCTCCCTCTGCCTGTGTCTCTGCCTTTCTCTCTATGTCTACCATGAATGAATAAATAAGTAGAATCTTAAAAAAAAAAAAAAAAAATTTTAAAGTGCCCCTTAGGCACTGGGTGCCTGGGTGGCTCAGCGGTTCAGCGCCTGCCTTTGACCCAGGGCGTGATCCTGGGGACCGGGGATCGAGTCCCACATCGGGCTCCCTGCATGGAGCCTGCTTCTCCCGCGGCTTGTGTCCCTGCCTGTCTCTCAGGAACAAATAAATAAAATCTTTAAAATAAATAAGTTAAAGTGCTCCTAAGGAACTGTCCCTTTTAAGCCCTCGATCATTTCTTTCGCGCCCCTGATGTATGTGAAACAATCGGCAAACTCAGGGTTTCCCAGCTTCTTCAGTCCTTCACGATTCCTGCATTTCCGTACCTCTTGGACGAACACTGACTCACTTTTTAAAAACAGCTAAAAAAAAAAATTGTTTTTTAAAATAAAAAATAAAAATAAAAACTGCTCGAGCCCCCCGCCCCGCCCCCAGGCGAATCGGCGCCAGTGCCGGCGCGGCCCCAGCGGCACCCACGCTGGGAAGCTAAGCAGATCTGGCAGCCTAGGCGGGAGGGCTGTGCCGGGGGTCCCTCCTCGGCAAAGCAAGAGCGGCCCGCAGCTGGCTCCGCCGCGGAAGACGAGGGCTCGGCGGCAGCTCGCGCCCCCCGCCGCCCTCCCGCCGGCCCGGCCTCGGGGGAGGGGCACACCACCTGGCTGGCCCCGACGGCGCGCCCCGCAGGGCCACGTCCGCCTTCGCGGGGCCGCGGGGCGCACGCGGCGAGGCCGACGGGCGGGGCGCCGCAGCGGAGCCGGGCCGGCGAGGGCGGGCGCGGTGGCCAGCGGGCGGCGGCGGACGCCAGCCCCGGGCCATGCGGCCGGGCGGCCCGCGGCGCCGCGGCAGCCAGGGCCGCCTCCGGACCAGGACGCGCCCGCCCCTCGCCCGTCCACCGGGCGCACATGCGGTTACTGGGCCGCTGCGCACGCGCGCGCGCCCCCGAGCCTTCCCGCCGTTACCTCCGGCCGGGGGCGCGCACGCGCGTCACCGCCGACCCCACGTCCTGCCTCCGTCGTCCGCACGTTCGTTCCGCCCACTGCCCCCTCACTTCTTCCTTGAAGCAGCGTCCTCCCAGGACGCCCCTCCGCGCATGCAAATGGGCTCACCCACATCCGGGGATCAGAGCGCAGGAACGCGCGGGTCACGTGATCCTCAGAGGAGCGGGGTGGGTGGTGGAAGTTCCGGTGGAGGCGGGTGCGGCGCTGCGTCCGGTGCGGGTAAGGCTTTCCCGCGCCCCTAGTCCCGGTTTTGGAGGGACGAGGACGCGTTGGTTCCTCAGCGTCGCCTCCCCCCGCTCCCGTCAGTGGAGGCCGATGTCTTCACTTCATCTTCGCAACCACTGTCCCCACCGCTCGCCCTGGAGGGTGGAAAGGCACTTGCGCGGCGGCTCCGGACCTCCCCCGCTTCCACACTTGGTATCTCCAGCCGGAAGTGGGGACCGGGGCGGCCCCCTGCTTGCGGACGGCTGGTGGTGGCCCGCGAGGGTCATTTCTAGCGCGGGGGAAGGCGGGCCCGCTTAGTTCGCGTTAGCCGCCTGCTTGCGGATCTGCAAAGCACAGAAACGGGATGACACGCGCCCCGGCTCCGGGGGACACACGCACCACGGGTCTGGGAAAGTGTGACGAGCTCCGCGTTGGGACCACTCGCTGTGTCCAGGGAACTAAGGGACCCCAGGAGGGACGAGGACCGCGCCCCGCCTGGGTCTAGGAACCGACCTCCTGCGGGAGATGACCCGGGAGCCGAGTCTTGTAGACTGACGGGGGGTTGGCTGGAAACAGATTGTGCGGAGCCCCGTAGGCCCCGGGCTGTCACGTGTGTAAGAGAAGGTTCGTTAAGGAGGGTAGTAGTGTCTCATTCTGTCGAGTGTGGCACGTGCTCGGGACAGTGGCCGTGTCTTTTTTTTTTTTTAATTGGAGTTCAATTTGCCAACATATAGCATAACATAGCACCCAGTGCTCATCCCGCCAAGTGCCCCCCTCAGTGCCCGTCACCCAGTCACCCCCACCCCCGCCCTCCTCCCCTTCCACCACCCCTAGTTCATTTCCCAGAGTTAGAAGTCTTTATGTTCTGTGTCCCTTTCTGATATCTCCTACACATTTCTTCTCCCTTCCCTTATATTCCCTTTCACTATTATTCATATTTCCCAAATGAGTGAGAACATACACTGTTTGTCCTTCTCCGATTGACTTACTTCACTCAGCATAATACCCTCCAGTTCCATCCACGTTGAAGCAAATGGTGGGTATTTGTCGTTTCTAATGGCTGAGGAATATTCCATTGTATACATAAACCACATCTTCTTTATCCATTCATCTTTCGATGGACACCGAGGCTCCTTCCACAGTTTGGCTATTGTGGACATGGCTGCTAGAAACATCGGGGTGCAGGTGTCCCGGCGTTTCACTGCATCTGAATCTTTGGGGTCTTGATCGTTTCCATTCTTCAGCCCCTGAAGATTCAGTGAAGGCACCTTAGTGCCTGACTCTGGAAATGAGTTGTTGACCCGGTGAGCTGACACCAGTGTTGAGTTTGGAAGGAAGAGTAGGCGTTGGTGATTGGGGGAGGGTGGTGGTGGGGTGGGGAGGCTTTTAAGTGCAAAGCCGGGGAAGTATAGCAGGGTTAGTGGTATTTGGAAGAGGGACAGTGAAGAAAGCTGGAGGCCAAATTTGGAAAGGATGTACTGGATCCTTGCTGCAGGATGGACACACAGTCGTTGTAGACACTGATAGAATCTGTTACAGAGACGACCCAGCTCGTTAGGTGGATCATAAAGACCAGAAGGAAACGTTCAAAAGCAGAACGCATGCTGAAGCTGGAGTGATTTGAAAGAACTTTACAAGAAGGTGGAATCTCTACGTGACTGGGGGAAATTAGCTAGTTCCGATCAACAAGAAAAAGGAGGAGGATATCCCAGGGGACAAAGAAATGGCAGCAGGAAAACAGGTTCGTGTAGGACAGGGATTCCAAAAATATAACAGGAACTGTGTGGAGATTTCCTAAAAGCAATATCCTTTTACTGGCCTTGAGTTATTCACTCGGTAGTACTGGATTAATTCTTGACCGAAACACCAAGGCCTCAGCTATTTCACTGGTGACCGAAAATAGCTGGGTACCTTCTGCTTCAGTTTCGCCTGGCTCTTTCCCATGGGGGTAAAAACACTTATCCCACCCCAAACTGTGTAGTTAATGACCCAGGCATTAGGGCCATCATGCAGTCATATTTTTGGGGCCAAGCACAGCCCATATGAAGGAGTCAGAATCCACCCTTAAAGATTGTTCCTTTTATGAATGTTTTGTAGCCTCAGAAACCAGGAGTGCCTGGGAGTGTCTTTGGTGCCATTAGGTTCCAAACCATCAGGATGGCTGCTTTGTGGCTGGGTGGGAATGCCCCTAGTACTGTGCTTCACTCATGATGAAGCAGCAGAACCCAAAGTAGGAAACAGGGAATCCAGACATACCCATGCTGGCTGCTGCTGTTTAGGAGGGAAAAAAAAAATGGGAGAATCAGCCATGGCCAAGTAGCTAAGTAACATCTTGACCCCTTGGTCCAGGCATCGAAAGGAATACAACATTAAAAATCAGAGGAAGGGACCCCAAAGGGAAGCGGAAATAGGAAGCAAGGAATCCCTCAACTATGGTTCACCTAGAGATGCTCCTTTCAGGACTCGTGTTGGGCACTATTTTATTTTATGGAGGGGGGGCACTATTTTTAAAAAGGAGGCAGTTTCTTTTACAAATACAGCTGAGGATTTTTGTCAGCTCTGTAGTTGGTCACTTTGCGTAGCCCATTTCACTGTCTTGGTACATTCATTTAGCTCCTGTGCCTAAGAATGCTAATACTAGAGCCAAAGCAGGTGGAGACTTGTAAAAAATTGTGCAAGAGAAGGCTAAAGGGGACAGAGAACACTTGGTTGTGAACCAGGGAAAGGCATCCTGAACAGGGAAAGGTGAATATGCAAATTAGGAGAGAAAAGCTACATTCTAGGTACACTGGCCTTGCACACAAGGCATCTGTCACACTATGACACTGATCTGTCAATGGGGCCATATATATATATACATACACACGTATACATACATATATATACATGTATGTATATATATACATGTATATGTTATAAAGCGTCCATGAGAGGAGAGGGGATAGGCAGTAGGGAGAGGCTGTGATCCTATTGATGAGAAGAGGAGTCTCCCATTTCCCAGGGTCATGTTACACCAAAAGACACATCCAGGCTAAAAGGCCTGGGGAATCCTAATGGTAGATTACATCACCTCCTGAGTCGTCATGTTTAAGAAATAATCTCTTTGGCTTACAGATCTGACAAGATCAAAGCTGCAGGAGAATGGACAGTGAGGTACAGAGAGATGGAAGGATCTTGGATTTGATTGACGATGCTTGGCGAGAAGACAAGCTGCCATATGAGGATGTTGCAATACCACTGGTAGGCTATAATTTGTGCCAAGGATGGTGGGTTAGAGGTATGATCTGGTGAGCCCTAGTAGAAGGATGTCAATGGACAAATAAACTCGTAGGGCACAGAAATCAAAGCCATGTAGTCCTCTAACTCGGGAAGATTGGAGGTAACTTGAATTTTTATTTGAAGAGAAATATGATCCAAAGAGCTGATATGATGAGTCAGTTAGGGGTCACATCAGGACTGGACCCAAGACTTCTGCGCCATGTTCTGTCCACCACAGCAAAGCTAGTAAACCAGATGATGAGAGTTTAATGTACAAAAGATGGAGAGGAACAAGAAGTAATGGCATTTACACTGTATTTCTTACTTGCCTGTCTGTGGTTGATCTTTTGGTATTTTTAGAGACATATTCTTGAAACACACCTATCCTAGTTTCCCTGGAAAATGTTTGGAGGACACCTGGCTTTTCTTTTGCATTTAGACCAAAAGGGTCCTAGGATACTCTCTTCTTTCCTGATCTCTGGAGAACTCTCCTGCAAGGAGTTTGTTGAACCTCCTGTAATAAAGGATCTAAAAGTTGTACGTTTGTAAATGCTTATTTAAATTCCTATTTATGTCATAAAGGCCTAACAACAAGGAGAATAGGCTCCATGGACTGTTTTTCATCAGATCATGCCGAGTGCCCTGAGAAGAGCTGTTAATAAAACGTAGCTTCCAAGTAGACTGCTGCTGCTATTTACTGAGAAGTAAAATTCCAACCACCCACGTTTTCATTTAAGGCTAAGAGATGAGGGATCCCTGGGTGGCACAGCGGTTTGGCGCCTGCCTTTGGCTCAGGGCGCGATCCTGGAGACCCGGGATCGCATCCCACGTCGGGCTCCCGGTGCATGGAGCCTGCTTCTCCCTCTGCCTGTGTCTCTGCCTCTCTCTCTCTCTCTGTGTGTGTGTGTGTGACTATCATAAATAAATAAAAATCAAAAAAAAAAGGCTAAGAGATGATAATCTGTTCAACAAATAATACACATATCAGATAATAATTCACAGCTTAGTTCAAGTTTAGAAAAATCATCAAAAGAGTATGCAATGAGAATTCTAGCTGCCACTTAATACTAGTTTTATGATGTGGACTGAGGTTAAAATTTGACATACATTATCTCTGACCCTTGAAACACCCTTGCATGGGTGTTTGGGTGATGTGTGATGTTATCCCCATTTTACAGCAAGAAACTGTAGGGCAGTGTGTGCAAAGCCTGATAGCTGATAGTTGAACTTCACACCTAGGTCTGTGTGAAGGCTCCAGATCCTGTCTTATAAACTTTTTTCATTTTACAGGCATTTCTTTGAAGCCTACTGTGTGCCATAAGACTATGTGAACATAAGATACAGTTCCTGTTCCTGGGGGTCTAGAGAGGCAGCACATATAAATAAGTAATTATAATAATAAATGTTATAAGTGGGGTTGTGAATAGCTACATAGGAAAGGAGGTGGCTGATTGCCTGTTGGGCATCAGGAAAGGCTTCAGAGAGAATGTAATAATTAGGCTGATCATAAGGGAGCACAGAAATTTAGTGGAGGTGGACGAGGGCACTCCAACAGAGGGGACAGGTGTACAAAGGCTCAGAGTTCTGAAAGGCTTTGGGAGACGCTGAGACATTCATTGTGGATAGAGAATGTATTTGTCACCCAAGGTAGGCAGAAAAGATGGGCTTGGACCAGATTTTGAGAGGAATATTTGATGCCATGCTTAGACTTCATTCTGAGGATAACTAGGAATGAGTGGTTTTCAAAATAGAAATCTGCTATGCCGAAATTTGAGTTTTAGAACATCTGTTCAGAAACACTGTTAGAGAATGTGTACCATGGAGAAAAGGGCAAGTGACAGGGCAGAGGGGCCAGGTAGGAAGCGATTACAGTGGTATAGGCAGGGGAGCAGGGCCTGAACAAAAGCATACTAGTGGAGGGGAACTGCTGAATTCTGGACAGGCTTATGGCAGGATTTGGGGACCACTACTGTGGAAGGGAATAATATCCATGCTGTAGTCTGGCCATCTTGCTATTCTGTGTCTTTTCCTCTACCTTGTGATTCTAAGGCAGTGTGTACTGGTTAGCTTTTCTTGCTGCCTAACAAACCGCCCCCCCCCAAAAAAAAAAACAGTGACTTAAAACAACAGCTGTTTATCTCGTGATTTTATGTCTCAACTGAGAGGGTCTTCCAGCCTTTGCCAGCTTAGCTGATCCCTCCTGGACTTGCTGGTGTTGTGCAGTCAGCAGGCCACCTGGGGGATGGGGAGACTTTTCACATGTCTGGTAGATTTCAGGTCAGCTGGGATGATGAGGTGATTAGGCCTAAGTCTCATTACCCATTAGTCTAGCCTACACCGCACATGGCCATCTCAGGGTTTCATGGAGCTTAGCCAAGAATGGGTCCATGGACATTGTCGTTGCTCTCTTTTAGCCAAAGCAAGTCACTTGGCCAGTCCCAACCTGAAATTGGGGAAATAGGAGGAAATAGGCTTTTTCATAGGAGTAGCTGCCAAGAATTGAGGCCATTTTGCAGGATACCATAATTGATTGTTGTGTTTATGATACTTTGTGTTGGTTTCTAAGCACATACACATATTTTTCATTTTGGCATTTAGCATAAGAGACAGTAGTGGCCAAATGAGAGGTATTATTTTATAGCATACACCACAGTGGAGTACCTGGGTGGCTCAGTTGGTTGAGTGTACAACTCTTGGTTTTGGCTCAGGTCATGATCTCAGGGTCCTGGGATCGAGCCCCATGTGGGGCTCCAGGCTCAGTGTGCTCAGTCTGTGCACATGTGCACTCGTGCGCTCTCTCTCTCTCCCTCTCTCTCAATATTTTTAAAACAACACATACCATGGATACGATAAATTAAGTAAAGTTGCTTGCCTGTGAATGAAATAATTCAGCACTAAGGACTTGTTTGTGCTTTGTGAGCTATAAATAATTATTGGAACCGAACTTTCTCTTTAAGTTTGAATGTATGATTGCTTTACAGTAAATGATAGCTCTTTGCAATTTGTACAGATATGTTTGAATCTCAGTATTATGTTTGGAAAACAATGTATATGGTTCAGGTATATGTATACATATTATAAGTGAATCATTTTATATATATTGAACATAATTTAAATGGAGAAAAACGTATATACTGCACATTGGAGTCAGTGGGAAATTGAAAGTCTCAATACTGAGTTTGCTGCCCCTCAAAAAAAAGTGTAAAGTCAAATAATTGAAAAGAAATATATTGGTATCATTAAACTCTGCTACAAAGCAGAAACCTGGTAGTAATAAATTTAAAATACAAGGAAACTACCGAAAGTTCTCATCACACATGTAAAAACATGGTTAATTATATGAGGCGATGGGTGTGTTAACTAGCCTTATCCTGATAATCATTTCACAGTGTATATATATATATATATATATATATATAGTCAATATATATATATATGTCAAATCATCAAGTCGTACACCTTAATCTCACACAATGTTATATGTAAATTAAATTACAAGCTGAAAAAAAACACTAAACGTCAGATTCCATACTAAGTGGTCCATGGCTTACCATTCTGTGACAATTGCTGTCAGGGTATGAAAGGGTCATTTACCAGGGTTTATGTTGCTGTGCTCCATCACTTGGGGGCGGGGGGGGGGGGGTGCGTCTCACCTGTTATGTTGTATTTTCAGTGCTCTCCACTCACCTCCATAATAATTCGGGCATGTTGGGTACGGGGAAGGTTTTTTTTAAATACATTTCTTGTGCTTAAGGAATATTCCAGCAAATGTATTAAATTAAAGCAGCTTCCCAAAAAAGGATTCGGTATTGGGCCTTTTCAGTGATCCTAGCCACTAGTAATAACATCAGCTTTTCCTTGAGCATCGGATGGCCACCCACAGTGGCGAGCACTTGATCTCAATTACCTCGTTTAGTTTCATGGCAGTCCTATGAGGTGATGGCTTTTTCCTCTCACTGCCAAACAGGAAACAAGGGTCCGAGGGATTAAATACCTTGCCCAAGTAACCCAGCAAATGGAGGTATTGTGGGCTTGGATCCCAGTGGCTTCCAAAAGCCTGTGCTCTCGTCCTTCTGCCAGACTGCCTCTTGCACAAGTGCCAGTATCATCATGCTATCATTCCCTACCGGAGATAGACCAGGGCACGTCTGAGTAATACTTATAAGATTGCCTCACATCCCTTGCTCCTAGTTCTTTCTTTAGGATATATTGGTATCAATTATGCTGCCTGTTTCTACAAACTCACAGGTTTGAATTCTAAGTACTCTTGGTTTTAAGCGTGTTGTCAATGCAGAGTGTACCAGCATTCTGAATGTGCATTGTACCTTTGCAGAATGAGCTTCCTGAACCTGAACAGGACAACGGTGGCACCACAGAATCTGTTAAAGAACAAGAAATGAAGTGGACTGACTTGGCCTTACAGTATCTCCATGAGAATGTTCCCCCTATAGGAAACTAAAACCTGGCTCCTTTTGCCTGTACAGATTTTTGAAAAATATACAGATACAAAATGTTTTCTTTCAGTCTCCTAATTCAGATCTTGAAGTGATAGATCTACACTCAACAATGTACACCTAGTTTTTGTGGCAGCAAAGTGCAATGTGAAAATACCAGAATGAGAAACTAATTGGGATTTTTCAGGAATGCAGAATGTTTGGCCCTTTGAGCCAAAAGGCTCAAACAAACACTGTCAAACACTGACATCTGTGTTTGAATGTGACTGGTTCAACATATACCTCTTAACTCTGATTTTTCTGTACTATCAGAGTTTAACGTGTCCCAACTACTTTTAACACATGTCCCATGAAACAAATGAACAAAGCGGGCAAAGACAGAGAAGCCAGGTGTGAGGAGAGTATTAATTTCTCACCTGCCTCCCTCTGAGGAGCACTCTGAGCTGTGGTGTATAGTGCCTGCAGGTAGATAACCTTTAAACTATGAATTTATCCAAAGTTTGAAAATGCTACAGGGAATCTTAAGAATCCCAGCAGTCAGTGGGTGGGTTATCCAAATATCCATCCTACCTGCAGGCACTATACACTGCAGCTCAGAGTGCTCCTCAGAGAGGTTAAGCTCTCTTGATTTGAGCTCAGGTCATGATCTCAGGGTCCTGGGATCCAGCGTCACATCGGGCTCCATGCTTAGTGGGGAGTTTGCTTAAGATGCTCTTGCTCTGCCCTCTCCCCTCCCCCACTCACTCTCCCTCTCTCTCTCTCTCTCGAGCAAATTAATCTTTTAAAAATTTTTTGAAAAACACATCCATGGACATTTGTCTTCTGGAATTCTTTGCCTCTGTTAAGTGGTGTCTCTTACTTTCTTACCTGGGTTGTGAACTGCTGGAAAAGACCCTGACTTATATTTCTGTGTCCCTCATTCAAAAACTAGAAACACTGCACAATTAAAGTCTCTCCTTGAAAAAAAAAAATTACTTATTTGAGAGAGAAAGAACGTGCATGAGCAGGAGGAGGGGCAGAGGGAGAGGGAGAAGCAGACTCCTTCCAATGCAGGGCTCAGTCCTAGAACTCTGGGATCACAACCTGAGCCAAAGGCAGACGTTCAACCAACTGAGCTACCCAGGTGCCCCTCTTCTTTTTGGGGGGGGGTCTTTTTGTTTACCTAGCTCTTAGGAATTAGTATATCACAAATAAACTAATTTTAGGATTTCAATCAGACACCGGGTTGTAGCAACTGTCCTGTAGTCCAGACACATCCAGGCTAATCTCCCTATGGATCAGTGTCTTGCCTAGAAGTCCTTCACCAGTCCCTTAATAACGAAAACCCTATAGAAAAGAGAATTACAGGCAACCTGGGTGGCTCAGTGATTTAGCACCGCCTTCGGCCCAGGGTGTGATCCTGGAGACCCGGGATCGAGTCCCACATCGGGCTCCCTTCATGGGGTCTGCTTCTCCCTCTGCCTGTGTCTCTGCCTCTCTGTGTCTCTGTGTCTCTCATGAGTAAAATTTTTTAAATCTTCAAAAAAAAATTACGATGTTCAGAAAAGATGTGTACTAAGAAAACAAAGCTTTTCAAAAAATGAAAGTACTTAGAATGCCATGGTTCCAATACATTCTAATTAAATGATGGTTTTTACTACAACTTTACTTGAAGTATGTAATAGCTAAGACACTGACATCTAGAAATCCAGGGGATGTTCATATAAATCCAGCCTTTCTCAGGAACATAGACTAGTAAAATGTGAAAGTTGTCTAGATTTCCATTGAATCAGAGTATAATGCCTGTAAAATAGAGAGCTATTGACTTATCTGCTTGGCTTCTACCTTCATCTAAAACTGTCCCCCCCCCCATGCCAAGTCTGACCTATGATAGGTGCCAAAACCACAGTGCACTGTGTCAGGAATTAGGTGACCAAACATGGGCCACGTTGTCCACCGCAGCTTTAGAATCTGCCTATGTAGGACTGGCTGGATGCTGGTGGCCACAAGAGTTGCTAGGTGGCTGTTGTAGGGTGGGTTTTCAAGCAAATGTGCCACAGCACCCAAAGAGGAAAGTGCGGAGTGAGGTTTGAGAGGCTGTGCAAACCCGCGCATTGCTGTCTGTAAAGGGCACCTCATTTGGGGCTGGGAATATGACAAGTGAACAAAAATACAGCTTCTGTCTATGTTTAGTGGGAGAGCAAGAATCAAGCCAATGGTTACACAAATACATGATTTTAAGTTGTGACATGTGCTAGGAAGGGAAATAATAGGCTATCACTTAGGTTGGGTACCTAGAAGCAAAGCCCGAGGTGGAGTTTCTTGTGTAAGGGGTTTGTCAAGGTTGTGGTCTCAGGAGGAGCCTGTGAGGGAAACAGGATAGAGCAGAGGAAGAAAGTGAGCAAAGATGGCATCAAGTTCAAGTCTAGCTCAGCCAGGTTCCACAGGTGCTATGGAATGTGATGTCCTCAAGAGTTTTCCCACCTTGAGGCAAGTGGCCAGGCCATTTGTATTCAGTGCATTGCATAGTCCTCCCACCATCCTCCAGGGAGGGCAGACCCAGGCATTGTCCAGGGAGGAGGACTCTAGAAGACAGTGTGGCCATGAGCTCTTGATTGTGGACACAGAGCAGGCAGTCAAGGCATGGGTGCACAGACAGACCAGATGGGGGCCCCAACAGTGGGGCCCCTATACCACAGGGTATGGAGAGCGGGACTGGGAGGCCTGACTTAGATTCGATAATTGAGACAAGACCTTGTAACTGGTAGCCTTTATAGCACATGACTTCAAATATTTATTTTGTTTATGAGTTTTTCCTACTCCCAAGCAAGTGGTTGGATCCTTTGTGCTGCTTGTTCCCAACAGGGAATAGATGAGTTCAAAAACAACCCTACCCCTTGTTTGGGAAGCAGGGGAGGGAAGGAGAGGAGGAGCCTCTTGAGAGTAGTGGAAAGCTGCGCCCCAGTCACTGGTGGTACCCAGTGAGATGAACTTCAGAGGCTCATGGTTTTGGAGTGTCTTCCAAGCTAGGCAAAGACCCCCCCAAGCATTGGAGCCACCCCCTTCCGGAGCCCCTCAGAGTTGGCCATGAGGACAGCAGCAGTGACCCAGATAAGCTGAGGAATTAGCTGGGTGAGAGGTCCTCACCCACCTTTAAGGTCATTCATGAACATCCCAAGGCTTGTGAGACCCTAAAAGGAGGAAACCCCCCCCCCCGTGACCACAGATTTAATTTCTGCTGCAGCACAGCGGAGGGGAGCCAAAAAAAAAAATTCATTTGCTTTGCAGCTTTGCAGAAAACAAAGTTTGCTATTTCTCTTACCCAGTTTGAGTTTATGAGCTAACCCCTGAAGGCGAGAAGCTAGCTCCTGAAGGAGTAGCCAGGAGAGGAATTTGGGGGATGAGGGTCAATGGCAGGGAGAGCGAATTGCATAAAGCCAAGAGGTGAGACTGGCATTACAAGCAAGGCGGGCAGGTAAGCCAGGGGAGATCTTATTTTATCACATAGAAGTTACTCTAGGTTTGAGCAGCTAAGAACAGTGGAACGGCAGAAAAGCTTTTGCAGTGGCTCAAGAGAGATGAAGGTGGCTTGAGCTCGCCAGACAGAGGTGGACTAAGAGGGACCAGGAATATCTCTTAGAGGGAGAATTATCCAGATGGGCCCAGTGAGAGGTGTATTTCAGGAAGCCAGCACCCTGATCGTGGTTGTGGGGTTCAAAAGAAATTGTGAGTGCCCAGTATGAGCATTGTCCTTGTGACCCAGGGGCAGGTGCTCTGAGCCAGATGCAGGACTCTAGATGCAGCTCCCGCCCCCTAGAAAAGTAGGATCTGCATCCATGAGCTGCCCATCCTTTGAAGCCCAACTTAGACCCACTTCTTAATAAGAGAGTAACAGTAACCGTGACACCCGCAGTTAACTGAGCGATTCTGAGTGCTTCAGGCACGGGATCTCTAGCCCTCACAACCACTTTTGAAGGTGGACATTGGCCTCGTGATCACGAGATGGTAACTCAAAATTGAACAACCTGTTCCAAGTTGAAACCACTCCAGTAGTAGATGGATTGCAACCAAGGCTGGTTAATCTCCAAACCCATGTCCTCTCCCTGGACCATGCGGCCACCCCTGTGAGATCTCTTCTGTGACCACTTCTCTCTGAAATGGGTAGGAAATCCTATTGGAACACTTAGTACTTTGAAATGTTTGCCTTGTTTCTATAAGAAAAGATCTATAAGATCTTTAAGATCTAAAAGAAATTGTTAGGGACCCAGGAGTCATGAAACAATAAAATTCCACTTATTACCAATCCCATATATAACTCTTATAACTTACAACGTTATCACCATGAGTCGTACTGTTTCTGGGTTTTATTGGAGGTTAATTGGCTAAAGGTGTATTTTCTGATTTGGGTGCCTTGGAAGTGGACAGCTTAATGTCAACGCTACCTACCCAGCAGGGGGCGCTCAATTCCTTTGACAAAGTGAATCGCAGGCCGCTTTCAGCGGACTGACTGACCATCCTGAATAAATGTGGTCTTTTGGTTGGAAGTGATTCTGCAGATCTTGGTTGCCCGAGGTGCTGGGTCGGGGTTTGTGTTGACCCCTGAGGTTCTGTCCAGCCACTCTCAATGGGTTCACTTACTTAGTGGGGCCCTCACTTGTGCTTTTTGGGGGCGGGGGGCAAGTGAGGGCACATGGACCAGGAGGGCAGTTGGAACTTCAATTACAGAAAAAGGTAGCCAGAATCAGGAATTGTGCCAGCCTGTGACTCCAAACCATATTCATAGTCTGCCCTGCGGACTCTTTCATTAAGCTACGTTTCCCAGCTCTCTGTGTTAAATTATTTTGGAGAATTTAGGCATCATCCTAGAGTGATCCATTAGGCTCTAGAAGTTTTCCAACGTTTCCTGTCCTGATCTGGCCCTGTTTTACCCACAGTTACATTTGTTCCCCACTTCCTTGCCATGCTGTGCCCTGTCCGTGAGCACCTATAGAAAGTAGTGGAAGAGGGATTCCTGGGTGGTTCAGTGGTCAAGCACCTGCCTTTGGCTCAGGGCATGATCCTGGATTCCTGGGATTGGGTCCC